TGGAGCGGTTACAGATAATGCTTTGCATTCCCAAGCGAACCGTTGAAACAGTGCATGCTGAAATCTGCGGCGTTTTATTTGAAAATGTAAACATTATTCGCTCCAGATTTAGAGTTTTTACTGAACAAGTTAATATGTAATGCAAATAAAATAAGATGTTGATATCAGTTCTTTTCATAGGTGCTTCTGTCTGTGTTCTTTTCACAAACATATTTATTATATAATATGTTACCTCCTGCTTTGTAATCATATACAGTATAATTTTGCATTTGTTCATTTGAGCTTATTTGTGTGACTGCCTGTCAAATGTTTTCCCCAGGTGGTGAAGGAAGCAATTGCAGGAGGAGTGGAATTGTCTGATTCTGAAGTGAAGAAATCTGTTAGAAAGGCAGCTTATGGCTTACACTTAACTAAAGAGGCTGCGTTAACAATTGCTAGTAAAGAAGTAAGTATCTAATGAGTTTGCCTATGGTTTCCTACTATATGAAAACAACATGCTGGATGTCACCGTGTAGTTAAAGACTTAAAGGTATGCTTTGAGTCCCGATTGTAGATATCATGTAATCTGGGACCGAAGTGACCCTAAAAGTAAGATGTTCCCTAAAATGTTTTGGGCTTGAACTTCTATTGCAACGATGTTGAGTCTTAAAAAAAATATTTTCTAACTGTGCCCTCATATTGGATGATGTGCAGGTCCGGAAATGTGCTGATTCCGCTTCCTAGCACGGGAGGAAGCGGAAGCGTGAGGGGACCCCGCTGCATGGAGCGGGGGCCAAGGCCCTCGCGAGCGCTTGGCCCTCCGCCACCGCAGCCCCCTTCTAGGTCGCTACCAGAGGGGGGGATGTTCACGCGGGCGCCGACGCTACATTCAACGGGAAGAGCCTACCGAAGACAATTTGTCGTTGCATTCACGGTAAAAAAAAAATTTAAGAACAAAATGTATTAATATCAAATTTATATTTTTTGCTTACCAAAAAAAAATTGTTTTCAGTCAATCAAGGCGCATGAGTACTTTGTCGACAAACGAGGATTGACACGGAATGTCTCTAATCGCGAATGGGTGCTCCACGGCATATGGCCGGACCCCGAGGATTCTAGGGCATAGGGGCCATCCGTGGATGCACATTCGCTTTTTAGACAATACCCGCATTTACACAATTCTTGGAAAGAGGTGGACCATAAGATGGGGATTGAAGATATAATCATAGTTTGTAAGGCGGCAAGGCGGGGCGCCAACGTACCTTCATATCGCCTAGGCGACTAGGCGCATGCCTAGGCGACATACATACCTACGTATATTTATATTTATATATATTAATATTTATACATTTATATATGTATATATAGGTCTTATACATTGTAAGGAAGCTTGACAGAGAAGACCGAGAGAGAGAAGATAAGTTTAAGTCTATTAGGCATTAGGCTACACTGAAAGAAAATGGGCTGCACTAAAAAAATAGGTTTTTTCAAAATTTTAAAGTGGCCCAAGGCATCAAGGCGAGGTAAGGCGAGATAAGGCAACGCCTAGGCGAGCGCCTGGTCGCCTTATGGTTTTCTAGGTGAGGCGAGCAGACAAGGCGTCCCAGTGATAGCGCCTTATCGCCTAGGCGACGCCTTACAAACTATGGATATAATGGATCATTAGTGGACTCGCCATGGGCGCTTTCAAAATGTATTGAGCTCCACAGATTACTTTCTACTAGGAGCAACTGTTGACCGAGACTTTCGGGACCAAATCTCTAGAAATATTGAATCTTCATGTAACGACTAGTAATTCTACTTCTAGTACTAGTCCTACATTTCTTCTTCATCATCCTAATTAGTTTTTGCATTTTCTAGATGCACACATTGCACGAGAGCAGCCCGCTTTAGCCTCCAGCATTGGGAAAATGGAGGCAAGTGGCAGCAACCCCTTTTCATCGGCAGCTCACACGGTCGTTGAATTTAAGGCCAATTTTGAAAGCGAGACAGATTGAAGGAAGAAACTGCTTGTATGGTACGTATTGCCTTATCGAATGTGATACGCAGAGAAGGACGTACGGCATTCTTAGCGTCGCCAGAAACAAATGGAGTAAGTGCTTAGATCCAGGGGACAATATATGCATATAAGGTACTCCCTCCGTCCCAAATTAAATTGCTTGTTTTCCTTTTTCATCAGTCCCAAATTATATTGCTTGAGTACAAAATTAGGTCGGAGTTCTAGAAAAATGGGCCTTCCATGGCTACTATTAGACAATATGGGTTTGAATTTGGCCTCGGCCTTTTTAACCCACTACAAATGTTGGGCCAAGCCCGGATTGTATGAAGGAGAAAATGAAACATTGCAGGCTTGCATGTCACAATCTACCGGGTCGTGCCAATCTCACTAAAATCTCATATTTTTGAAATCATTACATTAATAAGAAATAAAAATTACGCATTAAAAACCTCATCAAAAGTTCTACAAAACAAAATGTGACAAGAACATTTTATTTTATCGAATAATCAATCAAAATATATAAATAAATAAAAATTGTCGAGAAAGAAAAAATAAAATTATAATCAAATTGGGACATAGGGAGTATGTGTGTTGTAGGTTTGAAGGGAAGGTAGAGTGATGTGAAGGTATAAACTATAAACCATTATGATATTGGTTAAATGAGGGTCGGTGGGCGTTGCGCAATTGACAAAGCAAGGAGTGCCAAGAGGGTAAGACCCGAGCATACTGAGAGGCAACTATGCTAAGTATAGAGCTTCTGCAAATACTAGGTACAAGCTCCACTCTTTGCCACTGATCTGTAATTAAAGTCTAATTTACTTCCTTTAAGTGACCATCCGGTCGGGTTTGAAAGAACCCTCGGAGTCATCCTTTTTTGTAATGAGGCATGAGGAAACTGTGATCCTCCTCCCGTGTCCTTTATACCCAAAATCGAATCTCTTTAACCAATCCTACCCAAGATTAACATTTTGCCATTCATCCTTATTTTATGTTAAGATAGAATAGAATGTCACAAGTTGATTAGTACTCGTAACGAATATGAATGATTTGAAAAGTTGATAAAGAATTAATACCTGAGTATGAATAATTGAATGAATGGTACTCCATAGATTTTAATGGAAAGAAAGTATTTTTGCGACTGTTGAAATCAAAAAAGGAAATGTTTTGCCTAGATTTTTTTTTTAACAAATGGAGTAATTCTTTTGATGTAAATTTAAAATATATTAATTTTATTTTCATTGATATAAAATAGAGCAACGATCTTATCGATCCAGATGCATGGTGAACCAACCAATTTCCAACCAGCGAGAGTATAGTTGAGGGTCGCACCAGAATATTCTTCTAGGTTGCTACAAAGTATGTTTCTTCATCTAGGGAGGTTAAAGTTACACCAACCATATATTACACTTGTGGCAACTACCCACAAAAAACATGATATTTTAGTGGGATTGGCACGACCCGGTAGATTGTGACATGCAAGCCTGCAATGTTTCATTTTCTCCTTCATACAATCCAGGCTTGGCCCAACATTTGTAGTGGGTTAAAAAGGCCGAGCCAACATCAAACTCATATTGTCTAATAGTAGCCATGGAAGACCCATTTTTCTAGAACTCCGTCCTAATTTTGTACTCAAGCAATATAATTTGGGACTGATGAAAAAGGAAAACAAGCAATTTAATTTGGGACGGAGGGAGTACCTTATATGCATATATTGTCCCCTGGATCTAAGCACTTACTCCATATATTGTCCCCTGGAACACCTTGTCTGCTCGCCTCGCCTAGAAAACCATAAGGCGACCAGGCGCTTGCCTAGGCGTCGCCTTACCTCGCCTTGATGCCTTGGGCCACTTTAAAATTTTGAAAAAACCTATTATTTAGTGCAGCCCATTTTCTTTCAGTGTAGCCTAATAGACTTAAAACTTATCTTCTCTCTCTCTCTCTCGGTCTTCTCTGTCAAGCTTCCTTACAATGTATAAGACCTATATACACATATATAAATGTATAAATATAAATATTAATATAAATATAAATATATATAAATATAAATATAAATATATATATACGTAGGTATGTATGTCGCCTAGTTGTCACCTAGGCGCGCGCCTAGTCGCCTAGGCAATATGAAGGTACGCTGGCGCCCTGCCCCGCCTTGCCGCCTTACAAACTATGGATTTTACCTCGTAATTCCCATTTTGTAATCAAAATAAGGATGGGGGAAGTATATTTTATTTATTCTACATCATACCTCTTTACACCCTCCATCACCCCCATATCATATCATATAACTTAAGGATGTTGATTCTTTGTTCCAATAAACTAAGACATTAAATATTACTACATTCGTCCCAATGTACATGTCGAATTTAACTTTTTTGAGTCAAACAGGACAAACATTGAACTCCAATTACTTTCAGTTTTTATTACATATTAGTATAATGAAATATAACTTTGAAAGTTTTCAATACGATAATTCTAATAAAGTCATTTTTATGTTAAAATATATTCTACTTCTTATTTAATTGAAACTCAAAGTTTTTCCAATTTAACTCCAAAAATTCAAATTGAACAAATACACTGGGACGAAAGGAGTAAAAATTATTAATAATAATAACAACAAAAACATGGTTCTATTTGGTTAATATATATTATCTAGGAAAATTTTAATTATATTTTACTATGTTTCATGACATAAGTTGTAGGAAAATACTTTAAAGAAAAAATATTCTCTCTAAAAAAAAGAGAAAAGGTTTCCGTTAGAGCATTCTCCGTGGTGAGAGGAAAAAAATTTCTTCACCAATCTCTCTCTAACTTTTCCTTTCCTCCACCTCATCTTTTTTCTTGTATGAGAGTTTTTTTTGCTTGATTCCCAACAATGAGAAAATAAAAAAGCTAAAACACTGACTCCTTCGGCCAATCACATGAGACCACAGCAAGTGACCCGTTCTAATATTTTTTTGGATTAAGCTATGTGTACCCCAATATTTATACCCCAATTTGTACCCCGCAGGTTTGCACCAACATTTTGTGTTGGTGTAAAACTAATTTTTGTTAATGCACCAACACTTTGTCTCCGTGTAAATTTTTGTTAACGCACCAACACTTGTGTCGGTGTAAACCATTAAAATGTTTGTGCATAACTGTGGTGTACAAATGGTGTACATTTTTTGGTGTAAGTGTAGCATGATCCTATTTTTTTCCTTAGCGTGTGAATATATCAAAGTACACCACTGGGAGCTACAATTTTCTCACGATGAGCCGCGAGTGATCTTAGAGTTATATGGAAAATTTACTCACACACCACCCCTACCCCCTTATTACCCTACATCTACCACCAGTCACCTACAACACCTCGTCCACCCACCCTGCCCCATCCCCCACCCATCTGGCCCTATTCGTGTATGATTGTATAAATAAAAAAATTAAATACTCTCCGNTAAATGAACATGCACCCGACCTGACCTTAGTATAAAAATTTTACGAATGTATTTAATATGAAAAATCATGTAATAAAAATAAGATTATGTTTTTATTTTTATTTTATTACTCGTTTTAGTGTACAAATGTATACTTTGAAAATTTAAAATAAATATTCTCATAGCTTTAATGTATGTATCTTGATGTTTTATTATTTTTGGTGCAAAATACAAGTGTCAGGACTTGTTCTTTAGAACTGGAAAAAGAGAGCAAGATATTAGAAGAAACTAGAAGGAACTAAGAGTAGAAGAAATTCGAAAAAGCTGGAAGGAATTTAAAGAAATTAGATGGAATTGGAATAATTGAAAGTTATTTATTATTATTATTATTATTATTATCACGTTATCTTTAACAATATCTCGAAGAAACAAGTATTGTCATTTTTCATAAACAAAAATTAACTTTCACAAAAAAAATTAATTAGAGTATAAAATCTACAAGTATAGATCTCATATTTGGTACATTTTTATTTGTAATTAAACTTTATACGGAGTATATTACAAGATTTTATTTTATATAACAGACCTGTCACATGATTTGATCAAATCTATTTTTTCTTTC